AAATTATACGAAGGATCTTAATTGAATCGCAACAATTTAACAACGTTATCGCGATGCAATCATTTATTACCCTCCGGTTGCTTGAAGATTTCCAACGATATATTACTTATAGACAAATTTATGACACGTTATCGGTTGCAAATTACCGACAACGAATATAATTACATTTAGGAGCATCGCGACGATGTTATATAATTGTTCGCTGTCAATTGAACGAGAAACATACATAGAAAAACCCGATGACCGAAGGTGTAGGTGGGCTAATAATGAGTCAACAGCGGCACTTCACAGACATTTAAATCGTGACGGGGCTAATTTACGGATCGGCGAACGAGAAGAAAAAGGTTCGGCCGATTCGCGGTAAAGATATTCGTTAAGCTGCGAACGCAGCAAAGGGAAGAGACTTTTCGCAAAATTACGTGTTGTTCACGCATTCTCGCATGCGTGAACGCGTACGCGATGGTCCGCGGTCACTCGATCGGCGTTTTACGGACGTCATACGAGCGAGAAAAGGAACGGGGACGGGGCTCTGTGTCCAGAAGGAAGACCGTTTCATTGAATTGTACGAATGCTAGTGGCATTGCGACGTTCGAGTACGGGATTGTCGTGTACCCAGTATATTCGGTATGTAAAGGCATTCTCCCGATGAGGTCGATATTTACACACGTATACAGAGGATAAAACCATCATTCGCGCGTTCCCTCTTCTTCTCGTCGCAGCACTCTTTCGGCCGGTGCCTATATTCCGTTCTTATCTCAATGTGTTAAGTTTGCTGCTTGTGGTGGAATGGGAGCAAACCTCTGCGTTGGAACATGTTAGTTAACGACACTCGTGTAAGTGGTGAGCCACTTCCTCATGGCGCAATGGCCCGCTTCCTCTCCTCTGCGCTTCTCTTCGCTCCTCACTCTTTGTAGAGCTCTACAGACCACATCGCCTTCCCCTCCTCCGCCTCGCCCCTTCCTCATCTCGTCTACTCCCGTTCCTTTTTGCCGTCCCTTCCTTTCCCCCTCTTCCTTTTGACTTTCCACGCCGCTGCTGCCTGTAAAATATTAACGAAAAGGGCGGAAAGAAAAACTGGAAAACCCCATTGCGTCGCCCGCGCGTACATCGCGGCCCTTTTTTTTCTTCGAACGAACGACGATCGAATGAAAAAATTTCTTCTTTTTTTTTCACTTTCGAATCAGGCGATCGCGCTCTTTCGTACATTTTTCTTTGTTTTCTCTAGTCGTCGGAATTAGTTTCGAAAATTTATGAACTTCGCCGACGTCGAAGTCGGTGTGTCGCGTTGATCAGTAATGCAAATCTCTTCTGAGCAACAATGGTTACCGGACCGTGGGAATGTTTATGCAAATTGTCCCCGTTCTTGTCAATTATTTTAGAGAAATGATTCGAATAGAAATATATGTAGGATACGCGTCTTAACGATCGTCTCACGCGCGTTCGTTATTGCAATTACGCGGTGAATGCGATTCATTATTTTTATTGCATAACAATTAAACCGGAGCTGTAATAGGGGAAAAGAAAACAATTACTACCGAGATACACTTCCTAAACGGGTGTTTATCATCGACGATCGTGCACACGCGGCTGTGAAAAGAAAAAGAAAAGAAAGCCGATAATTCGTCTGATAATACGATACACAATGAATTCATTTTTGTTCGCATTGCGCACCAATTTAATACCCAAAATGGTTTTCTAGCGTGGTCTCGCTAAAGCATTACCACATAATAAGTTGAGGCTTCGCGAAACTTTCACGCTGTTTCTCACTTGGATGCACGTGTGTATACACGCATTTGTATGCACGCCTTTCTCAGGTAGCAAAAACATAGTGGCGGCAAGAACAATAACAATGATAACAAACTACAGAAGAAAACGAAGACATCGATTTCTCGTAGCAAACTAAAACGTGAGAAATTTACATTCATATTCCGTATTCTCCTACAGTTTTCG